ATTTCGAAAACATTTATTTCTCGAATGTGCTTAAAGTATTCTCACTTTCTATTTTTAACATTTTAACGAAATTATTTCTATGCAACGCTCATACAAACCTTTTCTGCGTTGCAATATAGAAATGATAGAATCATTTCAATTAATTGGAATCCCATTTCGTAGTGAGCAAATTATATGATATTCTAGCACTTTCTGTGTTAGAGCCAGTATTATATTCGTCAAATAACGTCTGTATATTTATTGTAGAATAACTTAAAATTTCCAATAACACTCATGGCAGCGTGCGCTTTAATGAGTATTCCCCAATGTAGTTAGTGCACTGTAATCTCTCAAACTCTAGAACATGTTGCTCCTTGTTTAATCAACATAAACTTCAGAGAAATACCATATAATTTTATTGTGACCCTTAAAATTATTTATCTATCGAGTTGACCGTATGTAGAATCTATTTTAGTCCAGATCGTATTCTCTAACTGTTTAGGACCGTTGACAACCGAACTACATTTGCCAAACAATGACTAAGTGGTTTCCCGATAAGAAATGTTAACAAATATCTATTACAGTAACAAACCTTTAGAGCAATGAATTAATGACAATACTGGCACAGAAATTACAGAAACCATTCAATAATCTCTCACCTTATTATTTTGAAATAGTTAACTAAGAATTTCTGGAGATAAATTTGACGATAATTAAAGAGACTTTGAACACTTTTACTAAGGGAGTAATTCAAAGCTAAACAAAATAAATAGAATAATATGCCTAACACGACTTTATGTGCAGTTGTTCTCGATTGAGTATTCAATGTTCATATTAAATGAAATGGCGGTGACTTTTGAATTTTAGTTACTGTCAGTTTTCAAGTATCGAATATAAGTTGAACTTCGAAATAATAATGTTAAATCAACTTTTTAACTTGAGTTTAAAAAAACTTATTGTTACCATCTTACAGATGATAGTAAACTGAAGAACTGAACTTTTAGTTTTCATGTTCATGCCGGAATTGGGCCCTCCTTCTAACAATAGGGAGCACACTGGCAAACAAGAAGTATGAACTCTCACACAGTAACATATCCAAATACTGGTCATTAGATGTACGCTGTTCCTGCCTAAATTGTTTCCGTGGAGTGAATGCAGCTGAGAGCTAAACTAGGTAAAAATAACAACCTCGCAAATCAGAGCGGGATTTTAATCCTTCTACGAGCACTTTATAGAAAAAGAATTCCCTACAATGTTTTATAACAGTTATTTTTAAAATGTGTATTATACCAACCGAGATTTTCTCTCTCACTACAATACGTCGATGCTTGGCAAAGAACGAGTTGAGGGTTTTGATACGCAAGCGGAAATTGAAATTAAAACCGACAATGATTTCATCTGTGCATGTCTATACCTTACCTTCACTTCTATGTAATGATACTACTGTACTTTTATCGTAGTGTAGATACAAATTAGGTGAGGCGGATATTAGTAAGTTCCAACTACTTGTCAAATTCCATATTCGGAAGATTTCAGACCGATGTTCAAATAAAATAATGAGATTAAACCATTTCCTTCGTACAATTACGAGGAATTTGGAACAGACTTTTTAAAAGCATGTGATTCCCAAAGTAACTTGGAATTATGGTACTATGTTACTCAAAACCTAATTAGTACTTTGTAAATAAGGATAATAACATACAAAAATGTTACTGTTTTGAACTACAGATGTTTTACTACAATCGCTAAACAGAAACAGTACTGCAGTATTATATCCAATTACAGTTAGTTTGTTGAAGCATGAATTTTCTCTTCTAACCCCCCCCCCACTCTATCCAGATTACAATAAAATAAAACAGCTGGTTAGATAATACCAAAAAGAACTGTTGTACCATTAATCTTTCTCTTTTTGTCTTCGGGTTTTTTGGAATTATAACTCCTGTAGTTTCTAATTGAAAATAAAGATAAGACCGCAAATAGTCTGCTTAATATTTGCTCAAGGAAGCATCGGTTTCATTGTAAACAACATCAGGAAGAGCTGTAGTATTGTTGCATGCAAACCTTTTACCAAGAACAACTATAGAAGATAATAACCAATATATCCTAAATCCATATGTATATTAATCTCGTTATTCTTATACACTAATTTCACAACAAAATGAATGCTGACCTAAAAATCACGCTAGTTTTTTGCTCTAGTATTGAATTAGACGGCTTTCAAGAGAGATATTTTCACAGTATAGTATTCAACCATTGATCCGAGAACATTGAATATGTTCAACAAAGAATAAACATTAAGTTCACAAGATATAATTGGGCTATCCTGAATTCATCTTTATACTTTTCATCCTAGGGAGATTGTTCTGTAAATTTATGTAAATATGAGCCGCCAAATAGGTTTCATCCTCTACCTTCTTTTCTAATCAAGAATATACAAAGGATGAACGAGTAAAATTGGCAAATATAGTTTTAACATGTAGTAAGAGTAAGAAGTACAAAACCTCTAACGTGGACCCATATTATTATTTCCCACTTACTGCGACGTTTTCTGTTTGACACAGGTGGCCAACCATAAATACACAATAGACTGATTTACTATTTTTTTTGCTGTTCAAGATTTTCCTATTATCTATTTTTCACATGAAGTTGCGGAAACTCTTCACGGATCTACCAATTTGAAAACCACAACGAAAGAATGACCGTAGACTGACCAGAATGATGCGACTTACAGTTTTACTAAATATTATGTAAATCTATGATCTTTTCGGGCATAATTCTCAATCCGACATGAATTCTATGGGTGTTTTATGTATACTCATGTTACCGTACAGAATATAGAACAAGTAATGATCCTATAATAAGTTAGAATGTTAACATAGTCTAGAACGCGGGATGAAAATCGCGTATATTTTCGACTTTACCAAATTTCTAAACTAATTTATGCTAAGTTTGAGTACTATTTAAGTTCACCCTCTTCAGTAAATTTCAATACTGTTAAAAATAACTGCCATTACCTGATTTAATTCGACTTAGCGAACTCGTATAGCTATTCCAATACTGAACAGTCCATCAATTTCCTGGATGGATGCAAATACACTAATACTATTATGAATACTAACTCTTTTGGAATAGCTGTAAAGTTTCTTACACAGTTTATAATTGTTTTTATGTTATTGTGCAATTATTAGTGCCAAGTTTTCTTTTCATCATCTCACTAAAAAACTGCTTTACTATTTAGTTTGGTGTTTAACACTTTCTTGTTAGACTATGCTACAGCAATGGAACGATCTTGGAATTAAAAGTTCCACTACAGACAAAAAATGATACTATTAGTTACTATTACTACTAATTTGTATACCATGTTTTTATTGATAGAGATGTAGTGAAGGCCGCAAATCACTTATAGTTCAGAAAGTAAATTTACCTCAGTTCATTTTCTATATTGTGTGTACATGTAAAAGCTTTTATACCTCTAATAATGGCTTTAGCGCTACACACCCTTAGTCTTATCTTAATGAATATGAACAATGGAATATTTAGTATTAATAAAGACCTATAAAAACTGAATTACCATTTTTTGGCAGCTTTTGATCTATTTTCTAAAACTTGAATATCGATGAATAACAACTTCAAAAATCTAGAGAGGTCAACGAAGCCGCAAGTTCTAATGGTTCACCATGAATTTCAAACATTATGTTTAGAGTAAAGCTACAAAGATACATTCTTCAAGTTAACCTTGAGAGGTCCTGCTTTTCCTAACTTGGTGTTATTCGGCATGCAATTGAATAGCACATCGAAATTGGTTAGTACGCTTTTCAGACAAACCATCTCACATGGACAATATTACCTTTTGAATAGAATAATTATATGTGTTTATTCGCTATATTTCTTACATTGCAGTCCATTTTAAGACACAAAACACCTCAGCATTCTAAATACAAAGTTACCCACATTGAGATACACTTCCATTTACAGTAATCATCCACGCCCTAATAGTAAGACTGAATTTTTCACATCGGAAATGTCCGCATCTTGGAGAGTTCATTCTCTGACGTAAACATTTCAGTTAAACTATGGAGAGTATTAGAGAATGTAGTAAAGGCAAAGATGAGTTTGTCGAGACTTTCGATATGCAGATAGTAATGCGATTTGTGATGAGTGCGATGATTAAACACCGACTGTCTTGGTCATTCAATTTTTTGGAACAGTTTCACTGAATTCATTATTGTTAAATTGATAATAATAGTTGTGTAGTAGAACAAAAAAAATTGTATGACGAGGGTCCCCATATCAAATAAAAGGAGGAAATTCAAAACTGATAGGCCGCGGGGTTTTTATATTGATATATAGCTATTTAATTATTTCAAGAAGATATTAACAATGAGCCGAAGGGAACGAGTTTGTATTTGTCGCACAAGAATGTTTCTTACCCAATTAAATAGTGATTATATAGACTTTATTTTATTTTCCGCGGATAAAAAACGTTGAATGTTTAATATATCTATCTTGATATAACAGCAATCTCTAATGTAAAATTAATTTTGTTTAGTAAGTAGTTTTTAGTATGAACAAGTATATTGCCGCATTCAGACAAGTTCAATAGTTACCTTCAGTTAAAAAGTAAAATGGTAATACTTATCGTAAAAATCAACTTTGCTATTTAAATTACAAATCGTATTCATCCTTAGACCCAATTCAAGCATTAATCACAAAAACGGATTTAGAAGAGCTCTGGTGTGTCAAATTCAAGTATACTTCTTCATTTGACATGAGATGAATTTAGTATTAGTTAGCTCTCTCAAATTTCAATTTGATACCCGCCCATGATATCTTTGTTTTTGTGTCCTTAACTGTGATTGTTGTACACAACTGTATAAAATGTTTTAACTAAATATTATACAAAAAAAGGACATGCTAAAAATTGTATTACAGTTTAAAACATTCCCACTATTAGGAACCATCCTATTTGATTTTCGGCGCCCACATCAACAACTAATGTATTAATTTTAGATAGTTACCAAATGGCTCATTCCAGAACGTTTACAGAACAGCTACATCACTTGCGATGCCTTAATGATGAAATTTTGAAAACAACAGATGATATCAACGAAAGCTTGGTTGAATCAGAAATTACCCATATAGAGAGCAAATCTGTTGGGGAATCGATAACGACTGCGACTACAACTACCTTCACAATGAAACAAAACAGTGAAATAGTCCATTACCTTCTACCGTTTTTAAACAGCCTAATCAAAAGCTTTTATTCATTTTATGAACATATTAATGATGTTGAGCAGCTTGACTTTCAGTTTAGTCAATTCAGAAAGTCTATGACATTCTCACCTGTTTGTAAATTTAGCCATAACACAACTCAAACGAAAGATTTAGTTGGAACCGAAGTTGTTAATAAAAATGAGTGGTACGAATATCACAATGGCAATATGACTAAGCTTTTTGAAATATTGGACACAATACTAATTCTACAGACCCAGCTCCTGAATGCATACAACAATAAGCACAATTCTTTAAAAACGAATTACCAATTGGATATTTTGTACTCAATTTTCATAGATCCCAAAAGTTATGGCTTGAAAGAATCAGATCATGTCAAATCTTTACGATTGGAAATGTTTAACGTATTGCTGGAGCTATTCAAATCTGAATTTAAATAGTAACGACAACTGCCATTATTTGGAATTTACTTTTCTTGGCTCAAATTCTTCTGTAGATTGAACAATCACTTAAAAGGGTTATATTTATCGTGGTATGACCATATAACACCATTACTCAGGGAAGGATCTTATTATTATTACAAAATTAAATATTCCATATACCAGAATACTTAGTTTAATAATTCAGAAATGCATTATTGTTTACACTATTGAACATTGAGAGGTCTACTTGGTACTAGTCAAAAGTTTCACTTTTTGATGCAAAGATGCAATTTGATCAGCTGTGCTCATGAACAGTTTGAATTCTTCGATTACGGTGGATATGATAGCGTTTAGACCAGTTTTCATAGCGTAGAGATCTTCTTGAGCATTGTCATTATTTGACAAACCATCCGATCCACTGATCTCGTGTGAACCACCGAAAATATCACAATGTATACCATTGACAGCGCTCTCGATATCTGACAAGACTCTGAAATAATCGTCCAGTTTACTTTGATACATAGCAATCTTTGCTTGGAAAAACTTCTCTAGTTCAAGAGATGATATCTTGGAACCAGGAGTCAGAATTTGCTGTAGTATTATAGCAAACATCTGTGTGTCAGATAGATTGTTGTCAGTGAGCTCTTTACTCTTTGAAATTCTTTTTAAATCCATTTGTAGTGATTGCATAGTCATTGATTGCACCTTTGTTAGATATGCTATGTCTCTAGGTATAGACGACACCAGTTCGTCATGATCTTTATCATCTGCTTTCAAGTGCTCCGATATTTGTACTTGTTTTTGGATATACTGATCTAATTGTTCAACTTCTGCCCTTATCTGAGGGGGTAGGTCAGATATCCTTGTAAGTGGTGTAATGGCCAGCTGATTGATGCTCTCCAAAGCACTCTGTGGTTGTTGCTGTTGCTGAACAGCACCAAATAAACCTCCATTAGTGTTGGAGCCAAAACCTGTATTACTACTATTACCCCCAAACAAACTCGATCCTGTGGTGGGCTTTGAACCAAACAATCCACCACCACCAAGACCTGATGTGGTTCCAGCGCTATTCTGATTGTTACCAAACAGACTAGTCCCAGTGGACCCTATTCCTTGTGCAGGCTTATTCCCAAATAGTCCACCCATTCCTCCTGTAGCATTCATAGTGTTAGAAGAATTACCAAATAGGCCACCGCCTGTACTTGCCGAATTCGTAGTGGCCGTGTTGTTACTGTTATTACCAAAAAGGCCTCCTGTAGCTGGTTTGCTAGCACCAAATAAACCTCCACCAGTTGACGTATTACCAGTATTATTGTTTGTACCAAAGAGACCTCCACCAGTCGATGTACTGCCAGCATTATTGTTTGTACCAAATAGACCTCCAGTACTTGTGTTGTTTCCAAACAAGCCGCCTCCCGTGGTTGTCCCTGTTGCTGTGTTTGTATTATTATTGCCAAAGAGTCCACCACTTGAGGCAGCATTGCCTGTTGTGTTGCTGTTACTGTTACCAAAAAGACCACCACCTGCACCAGTTGCATTGGAATTACCAAATAGTCCACCTCCCGTAGTCGTATTATTTTGTCCCGCCATATTGTTCGAGTTTGCACCACCAAACAAACCGGTGTTATTATTAGAAGTGCTTCCAAAAAGCCCTCCACCACTAGACTGGCCAGCATTGCTACCGAACCCTGATCCGGTGTTCGCACCGGCGTTATTATTACCAAACAACCCTGTAGAAGGTTTATTTAGCCCAAACATATCCTGTATACCAAAGAAGGGGTAATCCTTATAGCTGTTATTAAACCAATTGGGAAAGTACTTTCTAACTCACAAATAAACAATCGAATCAAAATCCCGAATTCTGAAAAGTGTGAAAGTACGCCTGATCGCTTAGTTCCTTTTAGACACTATTATACTTATTTGTACCAGGATATACAACGTTAGAAACATAGAAATCTAAGGAAATACAATTTTTGCTTATATGTAGTGTATGATGGCAATCAATGACATTAACAGAGGGAGTGATGCCCATATTATTGTAGAAACTGGATTGTGACAGCTGAATGAAGGCAGAAATTCTTTGCGAAGAAAAAAAAAAAATTAGGAAACTAGAAGTAGCATACTACGAACCACCATATGATATTGCCGTACTAAGATATACTACTATCCTAATATACGATAAACATGTGATGTAATACATATATACGAAATATCATATGACCAATTACGTATAACATCATTTCTTGTGGGTCCCTTTTCACTTGTCTTCGAAGTTTCGCAAGTTTGGCAATCTGTGTGGCCAAAGGGGAATTTGAAAAAAAAAAAAAAAACAGACGAAAACCAAAAAAAAAACAATATGGAAAGGACAAGAGATAACTTGAACAATTCGAAGAATTAGTGTAGCAAGGAATACAGGAAATATAGAAGTAACGCCAAAGTCAGTCGTTGAATATTTTTTCTTTTGCTAACTACTGCTTATAAATTGAATTACATTCCTTCCGAAACCACCCTGAACGCTAAAAGAAGATTTTCATTAATCTGTTGAAACTTCTTTAATCATTTACACGAGGGTTTTTATTATTTGCAGTGATTAAAAGGAGAAGAGAAAGAGAGATTAGTTGTAATTCTTTTTTCTCATACTTTTTACATCTGCTATTGGGACTAATATCAGCATTCATTTTTATCTGAGGGCTATTTTTTTTTTCTCAATTGATACTGCCTTGTTTTATTATACAAGAAAGGATATAACAATATTTTTTTACTTCTGCGGATTAATAGGATAAGAATAAAGAAATGGGTATTCCTAAGTTTTTCAGGTATATCTCTGAGAGATGGCCTATGATCCTTCAATTAATTGAAGGAACTCAAATTCCGGAATTTGACAACTTGTATTTAGATATGAATTCATTTATCCACACATGTACGCATGGTAATGATGATGAAGGTGTTACTCAGAAAATGTCTGACGAAGAATTGTACTCTAGAATTTTCACATATATCGACCATTTGTTCCTGATGATCAAACCAAAAAAAGTGTTCTACATGTCCATTGATGGTGTCGCTCCAAGAGCTAAGATGAATCAACAGAGATCGAGAAGATTCAGAACCGCTATGGATACGGAGAAGGCTTTGCAGAAGGCTATGGATGAAGGTGAAGAAATTCCAAAAGGTGACGCTTTTGACTCAAATTGTATCACACCAGGTACCGAATTTATGGCTCAATTGACACGGAACTTGAACTATTATATTCATGATAAGGTAACGAATGATGCTAACTGGAGGGATATTGAAGTCATTTTATCTGGCCACGAAGTTCCAGGTGAAGGTGAACACAAGATCATGGATTTCATTAGGAACATCACAGCACAAGAAGACTATGATGTTAACACGAGGCACTGTATATATGGTCTAGATGCAGACCTGATCATGCTTGGTTTATCCACTCACGCTCCACACTTTGCCTTGCTTAGAGAGGAAGTCACTTTTGGTAGAAGAAATAATTCAAGGAATAAAAACTTGGAAGAACAAAATTTTTACCTCCTCCATTTATCTTTGCTAAGAGAGTATCTTGAATTAGAATTTAAGGAAATAGGTGATGATTTACAATTTGAATTTGATTTCGAAAATATTCTTGATGATTTTATTCTAGTTATGTTTGTTATTGGTAATGATTTCCTTCCAAACTTACCGGATTTACACTTGAACAAAGGTGCTTTCCCTGTGTTATTACAGACGTTCAAGGAGGCTTTGCTACATGTTGACGGCTATATTAATGAACGTGGTCAAATTAACTTCAAAAGATTGAAGGTGTGGCTAGATTACCTATCTCAATTCGAGCTAATGAATTTTGAAAATGATGATATTGATGTTGCATGGTTCAATCAGCAATTGGAAAATATTTCTCTTGAAGGTGAAAGGAAACGTCAGAGAATGGGTAAGAAACTACTGATCAAGCAACAAAAAAAACTGGTAGGTATGGTGAAGCCATGGCTATTAAAGGAAATCAATAAAGAAATTCCCGCTAACTTGGAAGATTCTGATATTCCACAATTACCTTTGAGCGTTGATACTGAAACCCTAAAAGAAAATTTGGATTTCTTGAAGAAATTCGCTTTAGATCTCGGTCTAATTATAGTACATTCGAAATCTAAGGATACGTACTCCTTAAAATTGGATATTGATGCTATTAATCCTTCAGAAACTGATGAACAGCGTCAAAATAGGATTAATGAAACAAGAAAGACAATCAAGAAATACCAGAGTGCTATAATTGTCGAAGACAAAGAAGAGCTCGAAGAGGAAAAAGATATCTACAACGAAAGATTTGAAAACTGGAAAGCGGAGTATTACAGGTCCAAATTTGGCATTAAAAGAGATGAACCTGAAAGGATCGTAGAAATTGCAAACAACTATGTGGAGGGTTTGCAATGGGTCTTGTACTATTATTACCAGGGTTGTCCATCATGGAGTTGGTATTACCATTTCCATTATGCACCTCGTATATCTGACCTAGCTAAAGGTCTAGATCAAATTATTAAATTTGAACAAGGTTCTCCACTAACCCCATTCCAACAACTGATGGCTGTTTTACCTGAGAGATCAAAGAATCTTCTTCCAGCTGCTTATAGACCATTGATGTATGATCCTAAATCACCAATCTTGGATTTCTATCCATCTGAGGTTCAGTTAGATAAAAACGGTAAAACAGCTGATTGGGAAGCCGTGGTTTTGTTGCCATTTGTTGATGAAAATAGGTTGATTGAAGCAACCAATCATTGCTTGGCAAAGTTATCACCTGAGGAGAAACAAAGAAACTCATTTGGTAAGAACCTTACCTTCATGTACAATCCTCAAGTGGATAATGTCTATAGGACAACTCTGAAGGGTATTTTCTCAGATATTCAACATAATCACTGTGTTGCACTAGAATATCAACCTAAACCAATGGAAGGTAAGCAATTTCGTTACGGTCTTCTACCAAATGCCAAACTGAAGACTCAATTACTAGCTGGTTTCCCAACATTATATTCTTTGCCATTTACCAACAGTCTGGAATATAACGAAAGTTATGTTTTCCAACAACCATCTAGACAGCAATCTATGGTATTAAGAATAACTGATATATACAAGGAAAATAACTTGACCATGAAAGACATTGCTGATAGATATTTAAACAAAATTGTCTATACCAGATGGCCATATTTGCGTGAATCTAAGCTAATATCAATCACTGATGGTGAAACTATACATGAATGTATTCCAAACCCAGCTAAAAATACTGTTAAAATCATTACCAGACCACTTGAGAACAACGAGCGCAAACAGTTTAATAGTACTAAGAATTCCATGCTTAGAAGTTATGGTAAGCAGAAAGCTGTGATTTTGAAAAAAATTGACATCATTGTTCAAGTTTTGGCTGTTACCGGCTTGGTAAGAAAACCAAATGGTGCATACGTTAAAACCTATGCATCCCAACCTGATTATTATCCAATGCAATTAGTAGTAGAAAACGTATCTAACCATGATGAAAGATATATCGAGCGTCCACCAAAGCCAATTGAGAAAGAATTTCCAATCAATTCGAAGGTGATTTTCCTTGGTGATTATGCTTATGGTGGTGAAGCCACTGTTGACGGATATAGTAGTGAAAGTAGATTAAAGATAACTGTGAAAAAGAGGTTTTTGAAAACTGAACCAACCATAGGAAAAGACAGACTAAAAATGGACGAAAGTATGATAAAGTATTATCCTTCATACGTTATAAGTAAGGAATTGCAACTACATCCACTATTTTTATCAAAGATTACATCGAAGTTTTTGGTTACCGATTGTAATGGTAGCCATGTAAATGTTGGAATTCCAATTAAGTTTGAAGCTCGCCACCAAAAAGTTTTAGGCTACGCTAGGAGGAACATTAAGGGCTGGGATTACTCCAACGTTGCTGTTGCCTTAATTAAAAGGTACAGAGAAATGTTTCCTGCTTTCTTTGCTAAACTGTCTAAGACATCCGGTGATATACCAGTTATGCAAGACCTGTTCCCTGATTTATCTAGTCGTGCTATTATGAGTATGCTGGATGATATCAAACAATGGATTAAGTTCAGTACCGAAAACTTTGTGGTTGTATCATTGGAAAGTAATTCGCTAACAAAGGCTTCAATTAGGGCATGTGAAGATTACATTGAAAAATATTCTAGCAGTATCGAGCAACATGAGACAAAACAACTTGCAAAGGTTCCAAGGGAAGCTGTTTTATCACCAAGAGTTTCATTCTCCCAACTAAGAGCACAAAAGTTTGATTTGGGTGATCGTGTAGTTTATATACAAGACTCTGGTAAAGTGCCTTTGTTTTCAAAGGGTACTGTTGTTGGATACACCACATTAGGTTTATCATTATCAATTCAAGTTCTTTTTGACCATGAAATAGTTGCCGGTAACAAATTTGGTGGAAGATTGAGGACAAAGCGTGGTATCGGTCTAGATGCCTCATTCCTATTGAATATTACAAACAGACAATTTATATACCATTCTAAGGCTTCAAAGAAGGTTTCACAAGTTGATAATTCAAAATCTGCTAAACAACAGAAGAATACCAATGCTAAGCCAAAGCCAGAGACAAAGCAGGCAAAGCAACCAAGAAGAGAAAAGCCTGAGGATCCTGCCGCCAAGGAATTATTGTCCTACATCAAGAAGGGTGACAAAACTCAAAAAAATTCAACTGAACGAAAGACATCTGAAAAATCTTTCAAGGACCCTCAAGCCAAAAATAACACTGAAGTTGTCGAAATAGAACAGCTAAATTTGACCGAAAACCAAGCCGAACCTACATTGGCCAACGCAGCTAATCTTTATAGTGCAGTGACAAACCAGTATGATTCAAGCACCGGTAATCCAATAATTCCAATGTCCAACACTGGTGCAGCCCCTGGTGTTAGTCTACCGTATTTTGTCCCTAATGGACAGATTCCATACGGTGTACCACCAAATCCTCCAATGTTCCCGATGGGTGTTCCAATGCAAGGACCACCTATGCCAAATGGAATGATGCCTCCACCTCAGTTCGCGAATCCAAACATGCACATGAATCCTCTGCCACCAACCAGCAACATTTCAATTGCAATTGATAAAGAAGGAAGTAAAGACTTATTGAAATCAGTAAGAAGGAAGCCAGATCAAAGAAACAAAGATAATAATTCTGGTAGAAATGAGAATAAAAGTGGCCATTTCGGGTCGAAATCCAACAGGAAAACTGACACCAATGCGCCTAAAAAATCATCTGGTAAGCCAAGAAAACCTGGTAAGAAAATAGCTTCAGGTTTTGAATCTAAGAAAAATGAACCTGACACTAGAGCTGAATTTTAAACAACGATATACTTGTTTGATCAGTTTATTTTTTTATATGTAATGTTATATATATTTTTACATTTGATGCTTGTATATTTACTGTGAAAAGATTACAGCTTCTTTGCTCTGTGAATGTTAATAGTCTTCACTATTAGTAAACTCTTGAATTTTTGACTCCGCAAGTTCGCCCTGTCTTTTAAACCACTTTTTTTCATAACCATTTGATCTATCAACCCCATCCCACTTATTACCTGGTAGTATCCCAAACCTATTTTCTGTAGCAGTACCTGCGTATAGCTTCCTACCTAAAGGTGATATCTTTTGATGATTCACGCCTTTATTATGATCAAACTCAGTCGCTGGGTCATTATCTCGTATTTCAGCCGTGTACTTACTACTGATAGTTGAAACACCATCTAGCCCAGCTAGCTGTATTTCGCCCATATTCAATATTCGTATCCTTTCTTCTTGGCTATTTCTTTTGCCAGAGTCACTGTCAAGCGTTTTAGCTTCGACATCTATCTTATGACCCTGCGCATTTCTAAATACTGTCTCGATATTGTGGGTCTTTGGTTCTAATACTGTTCTGGAAGGTGGTTCGATATTGATGCCATTCTTCTGTTTATTCGTCAAATTGTCCGATAGCGGTGCTCCAGGAATATTATTTACACCATGACTTAACCATAGGGATTTCTCAGAGTTATCTCTCAAGGGATTATTAGCATTGCTATTGACATCTTCATTATTTGGTTTTTGAGCTGTTGATTTACTATCTACTTTCTTACTCTTCTTTTTCCTATCGGATGGCCCATACTCCTTCAATAAATAGTCATGCAGTGACATAATAATGAGAAATATGTTCACTTGTAAAATGAAATGTATGAATAATGTATCTGATAAACGGGTGCTATTTATCTATAGAACTGTACAAACATAGCCGGGGTATATATGAGATGAGCAACTGCGCAATTGCTACAGTTCGCCATTGTTTCCAATTTGATTCAATTAATTTTTCACCAAAATTCGATGACCCGAAATTGATATCTGTGAAAGAATTGGTTCACAACTACAAGTGTAGTACCATTGATGGTCATTTAGATTTGACTATAAATCGTTGCATCGGCCATTTGAGTTCAAAATTATATCTTGTGGCATCAATGAATAGCCTTTCATAAATAAAAGGTCGGTAAATGTGTGGAACTTGAATGAATGCAAGTAGAGAGAGAGAGAGAGAACGATATAGTACTGACACGTCAAGGTAAATTATTGATGCTTTAAAAAAAACAATCGGATTGTCTGTCATTCATCTTCTTTCAGTATATCAATATACCAAACATGCCTAACGATGAAATCATAAAAACTGTAACCGCAATGAATGTGACGCAATTGCTTGACTTGCAAGATTTTATCACAAAGACGTTACGTGAAAGGCTCATCAATCCGTCGAACGATTTGAAGTCAACTGAGGATCAACCTAAAGAAGTATTACTACCAAATGAAATACAAGAAGAAGGGAAAGTAGATGGAAAGCCGAAAAACGGAAATTTAGTTACTGTTCTACAAGTGAAAAGAGAAGATAGTCAAGATTCTGATGATTTTATCCTAACACAATTCGATAGCCAAGATGTTGGCTCTGCCAAGAAACAAAGCCAATTTGAAAAAAGCTCTATCAAACCGGAATTTAGTTCACCGCTAAAATTTTCACAGGTTTCAAATGATAGTAAGGCAGACAACCCGCTACCTAAAGAAGTATGTCATGCCAATGGTGGGGATCACTTGAGTATTGAAAAAACTATTCCATTCAAAAGAAGACTAGACCTGGAAAACATCAAAGAATATGATTGGAAGTGGTCTCATCATAATGATAAAGTACAAAATAATAAACAATCTATATTAGATTTTAATAAAAACCCTTTCTCAAAACGACCTTGGATTTTAGAAGATTTTTGTCCAAATTCAAATGCAATTGCAAAAAAAAAACATGAAATTGATTTTGAAAAGTTTCAAAAGAAGGTTAGCAATTTCATAGAGAATAAAACTAATAACGCGAAAGAAAGCGATATAGAATGTGCTAAATATGAAGGTAGGTTGAGAAACATCCATTTTGATAACATGCGAAATAGGTCACCCTCACCTCCAGGATATGGTCGGCTAGACTTCCCAAGTACACAAGAACGCGCTGACGACAAGTCAAAAGCTCAAAGTATTATAAGAGATAAAACATTATACAGGTTCTTGGAAGCAACCAACAATAGGGTCCCACCTATGAAAAGAGAATTCTTATTCAAGAAAAGGGAATTGAATGATGTTGTTGATGATGGTAACTTCGATTGGACAGAAGAAAGCCTCGAAATCTTTTCAAGATAATGCCCTTAAAATGGAGCAATTTTGCAAGTATTAAATGATTATGATTGAATAGGCCTGCAAACTCAAATGTGCCTTTTATTATAAGACAGTATAGAAAGCAATCAAGCGACCGATAATCACGTGACATCAAGTACCTGGAACTCAAGTTGACAATTTTCTTCGAATCTCGCCAATGAGCAAACACAATGCATAATTCATAGTGTCATCAAAATCATGATCAACTTGTAGAGAAGTAACGGCTTTGAGTTAAAAGTGGTTGTAGAACTTAACCACAGGATACTGTTAAATGTTTCAAGACAAATGCGTGGCATAAGTTTATTGACATGAATTTTGGTTATAACACATTCCTGACTTAACAACATAACAGTACTAATAGAGACCTACTACGCTATATTATGGCTGTGGAACTTCCTGGGTACTTTTATGACACAGAAAAGAGAAGATATTTTAAGATAACTAATAGCATTAATGCTTCAATAGAATTGAGTGGCAACAAATATAGCCGGGATGTGCTAAACAATGTGAAGGTCAATTTATTGGGTCAGCAATCCAAAAAAGCTTATACAGATCCTTATAAGATTCAAGATGAATATTTGAAAGATAGATCAATTCGGTATATGGTGGATAATAATGTGCTATCTAAAGGCCAAATATTCAAACAGAGTGAGAGTAGTGCATCTATTGTGAGCACAAATAATATCACATTTCCCTATTCGGATAAGATCATTGCTGCTCAAGACGTTAATTACATCGAAGATGGACTACATCGAACTAAAACGTTATACATTACTAGTGCTGGTCAGATTTTAGAAACTAGGATAGATTCACCCCCAAATACTGCTATTCTACTTTTTCGTCCCGAAGATACAGAAGAATCTACCATAGACCTCGCAAATTTTGAAGTAAGCCAATACTATTTAGGTTTAGTTTTAGTTCATATGGTAGGCTCTCATGGAAAAAATATTCTATTCTGGTCTGTGCAGAACAGAAATGAAACTATTAACTTTAGATCTAAAGTAATAGAAAACAAATACATGACATATGTGACCTTATTAGACCCCAATCACATATTTTATCTATTAGGAAACAAGCTCCATTTTGTGTCTTCTGAGAACTTCTCTTTTGACAATAAATTAACTTTATATCCAAAGGAAAGAAGTTATTGGCGATTAAAAGGTCAAATTACATGTGTAAAATTCAATCCCATTGATAACGAAACTTATAGGATATATGCTGGCTCAAGAAATGGGATTTTGACTTCCTTTATATTTTCAGTCAAATACGGAGTTATGCCAAAGAGCGTACAGACATGGGACCGTCCGGGGAATTTAATAACAATAGTGTCAATGCTGAGTACTAATATAGATGGAATAATATTTGTTTCAGGGTTGACTAATAAGAAGGATCACTCGCAGACCATAATTGCTCTTAACACCAAATCCTTATTGCCAAATCTAACCCATATGCTAACTCTTAAATCTCACTTTCGAAATGTAACTCAAAGTACGGAAATATTTTTGCTAAATCAGCACGAAAATATCTTATTATATGGATGTAAAAGAGGTGTTAGAGTAGAGCCTGATTTTGAAATTTTTAAACTTGACAGTAATTCCCCCATCAATGATAAATCACATCATATTTTGCCAAATCTCAAATTTAGCTCATTGCTTGATAAGAAATATTTTACGTCCCCATTCGAACTTATTCAGATTGTGGGCGAAATTGGGGAACAGAATGTCAAAAAAAATATAGATGATCGCATTTTCATTAAAAGATTATTAATTAAAGTCTTTGCCAAAGTCAGCCATCATAATCAGACATGCATGATTATAGTAAAGTTATAGATTTAATTTTCAACTACATTGATGTCGATGTAAACATATATGACTTAATTGTTCTTCATGTTGTATCTTGGTTTTACATTTTGACATGTATTTATTTTTTATACAATAATATACAACATAACCTATCAATACTTTTAATACAAAGAATTCCCATACAAGGCAAATCATCATTTCCACGATAATCGTAATACATCATAAAAAAAATTACTTCCTGTGCCTCATTAATATACACATGAATCCCAATGCTCACAAAAAGAACTCTCTTAGAATACAACGGTTCAAAATTTATTTATAACTAAAACTCAAACCCTTTTCTTTAGTATTTTTCATTTTTTACATTATCCACATCTCCGATGTGTGTGTGGCTACTTTAAATACATCAACATACCATTAACTACCATTTTTTTCAAATTTGATTAATTAAAAGTTGTTTCAACAAATTATAAGTTCGGTTTTTGCTATAAAGCAAAGCAATATGTGTCTCAGGGTAGCATTTTCGTACCCTTAATATAGAATTTTCTACCATTTTTTGCATACGATTAGCGGTTGTTGTGTCCTGTAGAAGGTTCAACAATTGTAGATGTTCTTATCAATTCTCAATGAAAGCCAAAACCAAACTTTGCTTCATCGTTGTTGTCATTTGTGTTTCCAAAGTTTTTTTGATTTCCCAAAGCTTCATTAGCAAAACCGTATTGTGGATAAGGGCTACTTACGATTCGCTGTTGGCGACTATTATCTATAACTTCGGAGGGATAAACAGAACCTTTGAACCTAACAGGCTGTTGATTTGGGTTTACATCACTAAAAGACCCAATCATACCATTAGGATATAACGTGCTGCTGCTACTTCCTCCACTGGCACAATTATCATTCATCATATAAACTGAGGATTGTGATGAACTTCCTTGTCTACCTACCATGCCTGGGATTGTAGGAGTCATAGTGTTAAAGCTTGTTGGGATATTTTGCTGAGACTGTTCAATTGGTGGTATAAACGGTATCTGAGGGTACTGGGAAATATTTCCTAAGAGGGGGCCACCAACATATCTATTTGAGCCATACCCAGTTGCACTTTGAATATTATGTTGCTTACCAAACATGTCATTGTTATATGGATTTTCATTCATATTTTGCAGCATAGTTGGAGGTGGATAATTGTAGAGAGTATTAGGTAAGGTATTTGTAGATCTTCCATTGAATGTGTTGGATGGTAAAGAATAATGTCTGGCATGTTGTTTGGCGTAGACAGAACTTTTGCTATCAATATTATTGACATCTGAAGAGTAAACTCTGTTACTTCTATTGTTTGGTGGGGTTTTTGAGCTTTGAGCATCTGAGTGTAACTGCTTTTTAGATGTTAGTTCAGTAAAAGGAACCCCTGTAAACTCAGCATATGCTTTCACTTTAAGCTTGATTTTCTTTGCATATGATGTTGTTTTAATGCTAGGTAACAATTCTTTGGTCAGTATGACAAGGTTGCTTATCTTACTTCCAAAATCAGTAGAAAGTTGAGACAAATTGTTGCAGATATTCTTGTTAAAGTCACTTTCCAATTGAAACTTCTCTTTATTAATTGTGCTATAGAAAGATATAATCTTTCCATAATTCTTGATATCAAGTAATGTTTGAAGAGCGTAATTCCCAAAGTTGTCTCTAATAAGAAGATTCAGCTTCATAGTAAAAACATCAACCATTTTTATCAAAATGCACACTGCGGCATTAAATATATCTTCTGTTATAGTAGGAGGTAAAATCAAGCTCTCTAACACACCAGAGTTTCTATATTTTTCGGTATTTTCGGTGTACAAATCAATAACCTTGGAAATGATTGAGAATAATTTTTTCATGAATTTCTCTACTACGTTCGAAGAGAATTTTAAACATGACAATTGGCATATTTCCCCAGAAAGTCTGTTATAGAATTCAGCCAACATATAGAAGTCAAGTTCTTCAATATCTAGCAGGAATTGGATAATGTAATTACCAAACTGATCGTTAATTAGATTTGGCAAAAACTGTACAATCTTAACAGATATTTTGAAAGTTTGTTGAAGAGTACAGACACTGAGAAGCTTCTGTAGCACACAGCAGCCATGTTTGTGAGTAGAGATAGCAATTATATTATTCTGATCAATGATGGCCGCAATAATAAAATCAAATTTGGAAGCAGGAAACTTGAAAATACACTTTTGAATTACATGGTTCCCATTTAAATCGTTGATCAGTGTGACTACTTGTCTGATCGATGTGTATTCGTTCGAAAACCCCTTCACAATCAGGTTAATTTGCTGTTCATCATCTACAGTGTCGATAATTTTTTGAAGAGATCTCGTACCATATTGATTTATGGATATTTGGAACACATTAGGATAAATTGCCTCGATCAAAGCCGTTCTTTGATCAGGAGTTAGAAAATCACAAAGTTTTTGAATCAAATAGTTTCCGAACGGATCTAGAATGAGCTCAAGAAAATAAGGTTTGATTTGATCATACATAAGATCTCTGACTAAATTTGATTCTGACGGAGTCTCCAACTTCTTTTGCAAAAACCTACACCCAAATTGATCTGTTGCCAATTTAACATAATCAAGCTCCTTAAGTGGTGTATTTGATATATCTGTCATATTAATTGAATCAGTTTCTACATCATTCAATTTATTGGTATATTTGGCTTTAGTTTGGTTATTTGATCTATTATTTTGAGGCGTTTTCTTACCTTTCATTTTTTCATCCTTCCCTTGCCTGCTATGTGAAACGGTTCTCTGTTTATCCATACTAGAACTGTTTAATTTTTTGTTATCAGCAAGTGTCATTGATTCCATTTCAGGTACAAGTGGTGATACAGTTATATTAACTTGGTTTACCGGGGCCACTGAATTAAGATGTGGTTCTAGAACATTTGAGTTATCTGCTAAATTATCGACAGCATTAGTAACATCAAAAGATATATCAAATTCATCAATCAGAGGTAAGTTTGGTGTTATATTATGGGAATGACCATTCAAAAGTCCGAGAGACGCTGCTTGGGAATATCCTTGTAATTGTTGCTTTTGCTGTAAATCTTTTTGAAGTAAACCTAAGGGAGAGGTTTGAGTTGAAGAGCTAGATGTTCCTAATGAATCTATGGGTGTATTGGATGTGATGAATTGATTAAACACCGACAGATCTAAAGAGTGCGTTTTTTGATGATTTTTCTTATTGTTCATCTGTCCTAGTGAAGGCGGTGTAACCGGTTCTATCAGGGATTGTATCGAATTAATCGATAGATGAGGTTGGTGATTTGACGACATTCCTTTAATAGTTTACGACGTGTATTTTGTGGATCAAGAAATGATAATTACCTTACAGGTTTTATTAGCGTCAATTGACCAAAAATAGCAAAGCCTGTGGTGATAAAATAATATTCTAAACTCTTGTTCGTAGAGTTAGTTTGAAAATGTTAAAAAAACTTCGATGACTTTTAAGTATAAACTCTTGTAAATATCGAAAGGTGTCTGACTAATACAACAAGTAGCAATCAGACTGTTTTTGAAGTTGAATGAAGCAGACTGAATTTGAAAAGTTGTCAATTGTAGTAAAGCTATAGCCTTGGTTCTTTTCGATACTTTATAGCGAGTAATATTATTATTCTCCAATAATAACGAATTGTATGAACTTCTCACTGGAAAAATGTAGTTGTTACACGGAATATGCAGTAATAAGTCGCTGTGATATTAGGTTTGAAATATCTCAGAAACTAAAAAAAATAATAAAACCAAATAGAGTGCCGTATAGTTCGAAAAACCCCAATTTATAGAAGTTGAGTTGATTTAATGTAATTGAAACAAAGAAAAGTACAAGTGCAAATGCCACGAATAATGCAAATTTTTGAAGAATAATTTAATTTTAAAACTAGGAGGATGTAAGTAAAACTTAGAATTTGAAGGAAGCAATGTAACTTTTTTAATTTAGGGTCACTACGCCTTACTGTGAATTCAACTCTAATTTATCGATTCTTAGCTAGATCGTAAATCGTGTAATTTATAATTGATATTCAAATTGAAATACAGGAGAGCAAAGGCAATTAAGTTATGATCAAAAAAGAACTCAATGCTCACTTAAAATGTTTTGGCTTGGGCTAACTATGAATATCTGTAGACCAAAAACACTATAGCAAATATTGTGTTAATTGATTACTATGGCCTGATAGCTTCTGTCCTTTCAACAAAAAAGTTGTTAATCGATCGAGACAAGTACGGCACGAACGGACCCACTGTAGATTATATTCCAACGATTGTAAACTTCTTAGTAGATATAACTGCAAGTAGATCAAATCTTGCAAATCAGTTGTTGTATGGTAGAAAGACTAATGAAAAGCAGCGGAGAATTTTAAATCAGTTACAGACGGAATAAGACAGTGATCTAAAGGTATCGGTATGCAAAATATGATCTTTGTCCTACTTCCTTGATTCTCCTAGGACCTTTTTTTCTTCAGCTATTGGCAATAGAAGAAGTGTGTTAGAAGGAAAGATAAAACTTTTGTCAGACTTCCTAACTCTCTCAATGATTTTTTTGTTAGATCTTTTGTGAATAGGAGTTGTTAGATATCTTTCCAGTACTAGATTGTAATTGTGTTTTTTTTTTTTGGTATTAGCTTCAACTTAGAAGAGCTCTAATGAATAACCCTCCCTTTTCAGAAAATATCTTAATGGTAACTCTTTAAATTTATGATCTCAATCTAATACTTTCTTAGAACGATGATGATCTCCATAACAGATAGTGAACTTTCATGAATTGGGGTGAAAATATATATACTACGAAAGAAAGTATATAGTTTTGTAACTAAAACAGTTCTTATAAATGATCTTTTACAATATTTGCCATATATAAATTTGGGATAGATGGATCATTGGATAGGGCGCACAGTATAATACCGCACAGTAAGAAAAAACCTGGATCCATTTGTAATTGCAATAGTAAGAAATTCATAAGTAGTTTTGTGAGAGCAAGAGAGGGAGAAATTGGCTGTGGGCCAGAGCATATACTAAATCCAGTAATTTTGTCAGTACGAATAGTGTGAGATTAGTTTTGGCATCGATGGCCTAAAGAGCTTGCCCTCATAGACAGAGATCAGAATAATTCTACTGAGCTGAAACTATGATAAAATGTGATGCTGTGTTAGGGTTAGGAGAATAGGTAAGGGAGAGAATGAGTGGGAGGTCTTGAAAAAGCATGGAAGGGAAGGGGGAGGAATCCCAGATAGAGAAGGTCACAAAGCTAGCAGATAGAGGCAAGGGTTGAAAACGGGATGATCAGATGTAAAGAGACCCAAGGCAAATAAAAACCTCTTTTCCCAATGTCTGAGCAAGAAGAGAAAAAAAAGCAAGATTCTACAAAAATAAAATTCGTGTTGGCTAAGATCCAACAGTGGGTGGGACATCCCTAGCACAGAGTACCAAACAGATCAAAAGGCTAGGCAGCGAGCAAGGACGAAATAAAGAGGCTGCCATACCGTTTCAAAACTACGTATATGAAATGATACTGTATAGGAACTATAGGTGCGAGGGTCAAATTAAATATCTGGACTTTAGGTCTTGCTACCAAACGGAAAAAAATTAACACTATCCAAAAAATCATTAGTGGACGAGAGCAGTTAAGAAGAGCCTTTCGCTGATGCCTAGTATTCTCAGCACTCCTATTCAATTGAATAGGGCTCGTTTCTTTTAATAGTGGGAGCATAGTAATGATCCAAGTAATCCACAAATGCGTAATTGTTAGTGGAAGTGCTGTTGTGGGAGGGACTAATGCGCCTTTTTCTTCTAACTTCCGGCATCTCCTACTTACTTCCATGGCTTGTGAACGAACAAAGAGGGAGAGGGCTTTTTGAAATGTGAAAGTGTAGGTGTACAAAATAGCATAATAATAGTAGTTGATTCATATTGTGAAGATTCCTGAAGGATCCGTATGGAAGGAATCAAAGAAATAAAATAAAATATGACGAGAGTCCGCAGGAAACAGTTTTCCTTCCCAATTTTCTCAGGGAGTGCACAGGAAAAAAAAGAAAGATACTATATTATCCCAACAAGAAAAGAAAAAGTAAAACTGGACTTTTTTGCGTGCAATTAGTACTGTGGACAAAGTTTTTATGTACATGGCCCTAATATCACATTACAGCTGAGAAAGTAGACTGCTAAGGGTAGCTGTTGAGCTTTAAGCTCTACCACCACATGTTAAGGACAGCTTTTTGTAGGAAATAGAAAGCTAACCGTACCCTAGAAATAATGATCTCCCTGGTGCATGATTCTAATGCTGCTGAGAGAGTTGAGCAAAAACTTTTGAAGCCCTAAAATTTCAAGTCACTGCCTTGCAGGAGTAACTTTAGGGTTTTAATGGCTCTTAGTATTAAAATTTCAGTTTTTCATACTCAGTGCTGGGTGGAGTAGTCTGATCCCGTGCTATAATGTGGTTTACAAGTTTACCACACAAAAGAATTCAACTATATGGTTTCATAGACTGTATATTATTATTAAGGTATTCGCAATTGTGATGTAAAAAATTTTGGAAATCTTTGAAAAGTCAGCAAAGTATTCTTAAAGAGTACATCCACAGCTGCACAGTATCATAATATCGGTATAAGAGCTGGTCGCTATAAGTATGGAATATAAACCTCATAGCCTAGTTAAGCCCATACAACTGTAAATCGGAACGACAACGTATATCTTCGGTATCCGTTCTTAATGTGGAATGACCGGCCAACGACGGAAATGAGGGGAGGGTATGCATTGCTTCCGCGGGGAGTCCCTTATAAATCAAATGATACGAATAAGCCCCTGCATCATAGACAAAATTCTCAAATAATTGACACGCAAGAGCAACTTTAACAGTAATATATATATACAAATACAAATGTCACATTTTAAAGTCACTCTCTTTGGATGAAGGTGATTTCTGTATCTGGCAAGTATGGACAAATTTCTAATTTTTACTTATAGATGACTATTTCGCAGTAGCTGCGCCTGGCAATAATTCAAAGCAATTCATTTTCTGCTCAAAGATGATGAAAACTTGTGTTTTGATTGTAGTATCTTATCTTGCACTAGAGCCGATCATTACAGTAATTAGCCACCCATATAATCCAGGATCAAAGCTATTGGTTTCGTACATGTCGTTAGGTCTTATCATATAATGTTAAGCCCTAATGATGGGCCTGTCTATTTTTATAGGTGTTGCTCCGAGCTATTCATGGAATCATTAAAGGTGTGAAAACAGAGGTGTATGATTTCGTTTACAGTTAGATGATGTACGTCATTTAACCCTAACGCCAGCTAAATTTAGGGTCTAAAAAATAACCTAACCCTATTAAATGCTTAAGAACCTAAAGAATTCACTAGGTTAGTAAAAAAGGCACTTTCAAAAATCAAGGTTTGGTTGATTTTAGTACAGTTCTATAAATTTTATGTAGAATAATACATTCAATGATAAGAAAGAACAACTAAAGATCAGATCTTATGGTCATTGAATCTACCAGACATAAAAGAGTTCTTTATTTTTAAACTATGATTTTTAAGAAACTTCTATTATACACAATGACTTCCGTATTGTTATTGTTGGAAACATGATCAGCAATTTTTGATGGAAATAGTACCAGGCTTTTTATGTCACATATAGAGACATTACGAGGGTTTTGGACTGTCATTAAAAAGTATACAATTATAAAGCTAAAATCAAAGGACAATTGGTAACATTATGGTTTTTTTATTTTTATAGGAATATATGGAACACAGGCAACTAACAGTGTGATATACAATCAATAATAATTCGGCTGATTGAGAGATTCATTAGATTTTACCCCAAAATAGATGACAGAGTAGGTTGAAAGTAATTTGTGGAATTATTTTAAGATGAATTAATTTGCATAAGACGTCGCTAATTCGAATCTTTTAGTGTTGACCTCTTTGGTATCTTTTAAAAGCACTGACTTATTGGTACAAGGTTTATTTCAACATAAAATCCCAAAAATATCTTACATATGAATGAGATAAATTTGATTGATATTTTTATTCAAGCGAAACTAAAACATTATTTGTGTGTCCTATGGAGTTATAAGTTTACAAGCACGACCAAAGTACGTCCACTAACGCGTATTCTGGGATGACTGTTATTGATATCAAAAGTTGTACTAGTTACGAGAGAGTTAACCTAATCATATGTAGTATGACATTGGACGTAGAGGTTTTGAAAAAAATATTACCACAATTATCATGTATTAGTGTCCAATTGTTCCAGATAAATACTCATTTTCAAACCCTTTAGTCACATGAGGACATCTAATACGGTACATGAGATTTAACGGCATTAAAAAGAAAAGAATCTTTGAATGATTTACGTATATACCTTTGGGATTATCAGTTCAAATCATTGTATTTAAAGAGATCTTTTTATTACTATAACAATTAAGTACTACAGCCTATTTGAAAATCAGATAAATATCTAGTTATTAAAACCTTAAAGGAGTGTTTGAGGATATGGGTGACCTTGTCATAACTATCTTTGAACTATTAGTTAAAAGTATTTAAATAACTTTTCTATTGAATATTTTTAATCTTTTACTTATTTCGCTTGTACTTTAAATTCATAATTCTACAGTAGTTGGGATTATAGAGTATGTATGTCATCAAGTGGTCGTAGGCAAAGAAACATTCAGAACTCATACCTTTCATGTTTTGGTCAGTCTTTATGTAACGTTACGAGCTTAATACCGTACTTAAACGCCTTAATGTTGTTTTTTCCGTCTTTTAAAAAATGGAATTCGTAAAATTTTTATATCATTATATACCTTGATAATTATATATATAGATTAGTCAAAGGCTAGAAATTACTTTATACGCTATTGGATGTACATTGGGCTTTCAAATAGCATTATTCGAAGATCAAAAAAATTGACAACTAGTAACTATTATCAGAGAATAAGTCTATTTTTAGGTTATTGTAAAACAACCAATTAATGCATCCCTTTTGGATGAATCTTAATATTTTGCCATTTTTTGGCGTAACATTTTCAGTCTATGAGATATGCTTTTGATGTACTTTCCAATAATTATCTTATCCTCAGAATCTAGAACATCGTTGGTATCTTTCAAAAATTCATCATATTCGTCTTCTCCTTGGTCTGTATAGGGAGAGTTTTCGAGTGATATAGTCAGCATCCATAAGCTTGTCGCATATGCTAATTCACATATGTGCAGATTTTGACCTTGTAACTCCAAGTTGGCTGCATATTTGGATATTTCAAGAGCTCTATCATATAGCAATTTTTCAAGGTATACTTTCTCGGCTACATTATCTTCATTTGAATCATTACTAATTTTGGACTTCGGACTTTGATTATGCGTTCCAGGCTTACTATTCTCATATTCTTCCAGTTTCATCCTTAAAAAGTCTGTTTTATCTAGGCATTCGTTGAATTTTTCTCTGATCCATTGAACAAGAATATTTAGCCTCAGTGAACAAATCTTTTCCTGACAGCTATACCACCACTTTGATGTAATTTTCATAGACTGCGCAAGAATCTGTAATGCCTTCATATACAAAACAATTGCCTCTTTGGATATGGAAATAATTTCAGCTGGAAGTAGAGTTGATGAATAAGAGTTCGTTCTTTTAGAATTATTTGAGCCTTGTGAAGAAAAGGAGAATCTCTCCTTATTAAACGAGTTTCTCTTGTTATAACTGTTGCGGCTACTGTCATTTCTTAACCTATATCTAGTATTAACTGTCTCAGAAAGAAGAGTGTTAGACAGATTTTTTTGAACATCTAACTCCTCATCGGAATCCTCATCAATGACTGGATTACTATCATCACTTAAACGCTTTTCAAATTGAAGCGCAGGTGAGGCTCGTATTACCGCCTGTGGTAGAGGAATGATTTGAGCATACTTTACCTCGGCATAAGAATACACAACAAATGCCTTAGCTGAAAGGGATTCTAAAATCCTTATCACTTCATTAATTCCTTTGGCATGATCTACATTAATAAGTGCTGGTTGATTCAATGTTTCTGTATGCAAAATCAGATTTTCAGTAAGGTCGTAAAAAATTTGCGAGTTTAGCAAAGGTTGAGTGTAATTCGGTGACGTGGAATTAGAAGTTTGATTCTTGTTGGTTTGTGCTGAGGATCCAAAAATCCTAGTAGATGCAAGACCAAGGGCTCTTGATAACGCATTTGAAGGATTCAAAGAAGAAATAGATAGTCTCCTTTCAACTAGGGATGCTCTTCGCGAGCTTGTTCCCCCACTCGTAGTTGATGGTGCTCTTTGTAAATTTTGAATATCATTATGAGGTTGATGAACCTGAATATGCGGCTGTTCTAAAGTTTTAATATTTTGATCCTTTACCGCTTCGTCATTATTCCCGACATTTGCCTGCGCAAGATCGTCTGCCAATGAATTTACCTCCACTGCTTTTTTTTCAACAACAACATAATCACGATCTAGACTGGAATCAGATTTTCCTGAGAGATTGCTTTTATCCAATTTATTAACCCTAGATGAATTTGAACTCAATAAATGGCTTATGTTTTTGTTTGTTAATTTTTCATCACTGCCGAGTTGCTTTGCTGCAATCAGCTTTGCTGCAAGTTTTTCTGGATCTATCATTTCATTTTGATAGACTTCAGGTGCAATATTAACGCCATACTTCACTCCTGTTTCCATTTCTGTTTCATCCTTATAAGCTTGGTCTAACATTGGCTCCTGCTTAGATTTTGGAATAAATTCAGTATCTTTCCTAGAGGATACACCCTTTTGATTTCGTTTTTTTATTAAAAACTCGGATACAAACATATTACTTTCTTGTAAGTCTTTTGATTTCGACTCAAGCTCTGTATTTTCGTCTACTTCGTAGTGAGATAAATCCTCTGTAACAATTTTATTATTGAAAAACTCTTCAAACCCTATTCTCTTCGCAGGGTCAAAAGTTAACAATGAGCAAATCAGCTCCTTTAACCCATCCTCAACTTCGCAAACTTCGGGAAAATTAATTTCATCATGTGCTCGTTTGATTTTTTTGAACAGTTCCAAATGATTAGAAGCAGTGAAAGGTGGAACACCACAACACATTTCAAATAGGACAGTTCCAACAGACCAGAGATCAGCTTTTGCATTATATTTCTGATAGTTTAATATCTCTGGCGCCATATATAATGGAGAGCCACACAAGGTTTCAGCAAGTGAGGTACTTGGCAGAAATCTTGCAAACCCAAAGTCTGCTATCTTTAGTATCGGCAGATTGTATATCCCAACATACCCAAGCTCATGAAAAGTTTTGGAGTCACGGTAATTAGTTAATGGTGTTGCCAGCAACAGATTTTGGGGTTTTATATCTCTATGGACAAGATTTTTTGACCGAAGAAACTTTAGCGCTGATGCAAGCTGTTGCAAGTAGCATACCACGAAAGCCCTATTAAGTCCGTTATGCTCTTTGCTCGGAGGTGGATATTTATTGAAAACGGTTTGTAGCAATGGGTGATTATTCTCTAATTCTTTTCTCTTTTTTATTAAAAATGTTAGATCTCCTAAAGCACAATAGTCCATCACCAAATAAAAGTCAGTGGTAGTTCTTTCACAATCTATCAGACCTACTATATGTGGATGCTTTATCTTTTTTAAAATGGCTATCTCTATCTCCAAATTTTCAAGAAGCTTTTTGTTCTTTAATTTACTTCTTGCCACTGCTTTGACCGCTATGTGGCTTTTGGGATCAGTTGTAACATGCCCTCGGTAAACGGTGGCAAAGGATCCCTTCCCTATTTCTTTCTCGACCACATATTTACCGTCCTGTATGCGAAATCTATCCATCTTTTGGGAGCTCATCTCGAGTACTAATTTTTAAGACCTAACTAGCAAATCCGTTATAATTCAAATTGTGAACTTTATGCTATATTGCTTTTGGATAACAATATCTTGCCTCTCGTATGCGGATGAAAATCCTTCAACTTTATTTACAACAATATAATTCCTGCTGCTATCAAGCCAGTAAGATGTTCCTGAATGCTGTGTTTTAATTAAAAGCCACTGTAGTAATCGAGCTCTTAGTAGAATCACATATACAATATCTAGCTGTCTTCTTAAAGTCTTGGTTACCTTGATCAATGATGTTTATTGATATTTATTGATTTTTCTGTGGGTGCTTTTTTAAAAGATCAATAACAAAACTGAATCTCAAACACCAAACCTATGATGTATATTAACTATGAGCAGTACCCTTTTTTTTTCTTTTGAGATGTCCTTAAGCGTGCTCTCCGTCGAACTCTTTTGTGGGATACTTCTTTAATATTAAAGTCGCGTTGATAATCAAAGTGGCACGTTTACTGAAACTCAAACGCTCTTAGTTTTTATATGTCTGACCGGCTATCTCTTCTCAAAACTGTTTTTGACACCTGCTAACCTGATGGGTTCCTGAAATGTTAGAAATGCCGTATCTTCGCTTTTCGCTCTATCACGGAAAAACAAACCAGTAGAGTTTGTAGAGCGAGAAAACGAACGCCGATGAGCCTTATAATATGTACCTGGTGTAATAGCTAGCAAAGTTGTGTCTCTAAAACGAATCCAGTATCGTAAACAGAACTACTCAAAAGGTTGTGTATAAAAAAGTTTACCGTATTTATCTTATTTATTTGCCTTTTTAGGCTCTTCAGCAAACACGCTTGTCCCTGAAAACACTATTCCGGTATTAACTCTCACATACACGTTACTGCTTTACGTTTGAAAATAAACAGATGGGGTTGGTCTAATCTGTTTTTGCAAACGTATATATACTTGATGGCACCTTTATTTAATAGGTTATACACCCTTCTGAGATGATATTCTATTATGTATGCGTGCTTTTGTTATTTGGTTTATCGGAAAATACAATGATAGCAGCATTGAGAGAAACATGAGTTTGACTCACAGGCATTTTCTGGGAAGAGAAACAGAACAAAAATGATCTAGGGTTACAATGGTGGCGTTCTTGCTAATTTTCAGAATGACATAACGTATATGTTACTATTTTGTACAAACTGTTCACTGAAACTCGTTCATTCTACTGTTCACATTCAAATAGCCCCACTATCGTGCCATCCTACAGGCAGTTTTGGTTTCGATGATTTCACAAGAATAAGGGCGGATCACTGTACTCCGGAGGCAACACGACTTAGCAAATAATGAACTACCGGGTCCAGCTACGTACTCTCTTGTTTCTGCAGGATAATGGCATTCCTATCCTATAGTTCAGGGAGAGATATTGAGTCATCGGTGCATATGCCACACTAACCTCTCTAGGAAACCTCGTGGTTTACAAGTACATCAAAGAAGTAGAAGAAACTGAAATCAGAAACCCAGAAACAAGCAAGGGCACAAAGACACTGTGCAAAAACCCATGCAAGCGAAAGAGACAAGGGTGTAGGTGCCAAACAAAAAAGAGACCTACCATTCACATCTATCACAACGATACAAGGAATGCTCTATTGATCGGTGCAATCGCATGTAACTTGCCTCATGCGGACTTGGAGAAGTTTCTACGTTTCGTGATAATGATTCCTTCTCTTATCAGTTTCTCATAGTAGAATCACTTTTTGAATGTCGTGTTTTTAAGGGGCACAATGTTGCTTTCGCATTTCACTACGACACAGCGCACCATATCACCGTGCAAATTCATACCGTGCATATGATGCATTTCGTACATGCTGTTTTGATTATCGATCAGCGTATCAGAATTCAACTATTAATTAAGAAACAGCATGTTTTAATGTGCCTAGAATAGAATATTAACATATGATTGACATTAGTTATTAAAAGTTTTTATATATATTATTTTTTTTTGAGGGTGGAGGGAATAAGGCTAATAGTAATTTACTAAATGAAAACTACATATAAAATCCCGGGTTGTATTGATTTGGATAAGTAGGCTGCTGCTGTAATTGCTGCTGCTGTAACTGCTGTTGTTGTAACTGCTGCTGTTGTAGTTGCTGTTGTTGTAATTGCTGTTGTTGTAGTTGCTGCTGTTGTAGAACCTGTTGGTACTGTGGCGTATTTGGCGTTATTTCAACAGGTGTTGTGTACTGGTCAGGCTTACTATACAGGTTCATAATTGCATTCTTATCGATCTGTGGTTGAACAGATTGCTGAGCAAACCCAGTGGTTTGCATGCCAGCAGGTTGCATCATTGGGACACTCCCAGTCATAGTTTGAACCTGGGTTGGTATCATGTTAACTGACCCAGTGGCATTGAATTGCATCGGTACTTGAGATCCGATCCCGGTCATTGTTGGTTGTACACCTATTGTCTGTTGTATAGGCATTCCCATTTGAGGTTGTGATTGTTGTTGGAATTGTTGGCCTTGACCTTGGACTGCAGCCATGTACTGCTGCTGGTCAACATAAATCATGTTTGTAGCTGGGTCATAATATTGCTGAACTGACCCATCAAATATGGCTGGTTGTGGTTCCTGTTGTGATGTGGGGTTTACCACACCAGTACCGTCAAATACGGCAGGCTTGGGACCAGTCTGCTGAGGTCTTGAAGGCAATGGTGGGTTGCTGGCCATTTGACTACTAGAGCCTGACATGTTATTAACAGGGCTGTGTACGTTGGATCTACTTGTTGCTCTTGATAGAGGCCGATCTTGTTCGCGTCTATTCAGATAATCAAGAGCACCGTTAACATCCCCGTGACTATATGTTATAGCATCAATATTTTTCTGTTCGTTTGTAAAACCTAACTCCCGCAGTTGTCTTAGTTCCCTACCATATTTGCTATAAGCGAAATCATGCTCCGAGATATGGGCAGAAGAACCACTCCTATAAAATGAGGAGGTGCGGCTGCGACCACTTACACTCCTACTTCTGCTTCTACTACGATGACGGGGCATACCATAATCATCATAATCATCGTTATCAAATCTAGCAGTAGATTTTCTTCTACCATTACTCCGAGACCCATAATCTGAGGGCATTATTTGATCGTTTCTGTACTTACCTATGATGTATTTCTCTCTAACAAATCTTTCGACAGCACTTTTATCCTCATCTCCATCGAAAGGAAAAGGTTCATTCTTTGGGTTCCATTTCCTCATGTTTCCTTTATTACCTCCAGAAGAGGCCACAGAGTCTATGTCCTCCGCTTCCCACCTCTCCATGGACAACGATTTCACGTTGGAGAAGATACCACTCTCCTCATCTGGGTCAGTCCCTAGAATCTTTCTATGAACAGAAGCACATCTGCCGCATAAGAACACGCCTAGGTTTGTAGAACACCATGTGGGCACGGCTGAGCCACACTCACCACACCTATTGCCATTTTCAGGCGCATTGACAATATCTTTCAGTTCTCCATCAATATTCGCATCAAAAGCAGACCTCGAACCCGATCTCTTAAATCTCATTACTTTGTTGCTATTTTTTATTATGATGTATCTATAATGTCTGCCCTAGACCTTAAGCTTCACAATGCACTTCTAAACTATATGTTCGAATTCTGTTCCTCCAATATTTTGGAAAAAAGTTCAGTGCATGCAACTGTATGTTCCTTGATTTACTTCACAAAAGAAGATTTACAAGCGTCATTACGAATTCAATATATATACTACAGTAGATGTCAAAACTCCAGGATATAAAGTTTGCCCTTTATTCACGCATTAACGCAGTGCGATTCGATTTCCTCCGTTCTCCCCCCCCCCCCCCCCAACAGACTAGGGACGCCTCTGCCCTAGGCATCCCACGTATGTAAATTTTTCTTACAGAAGAATAACAATATACGCTTCGTTCAGTCCTCTCCCTTCTTCGTGGGACCCAGGATTTATCTACTCTCAATTGAGCAGTCAAAACTCTACAAGGATATATGAACAAGAGATGGCCACCGGACAACTACTAACCAAGAACGGAATTACGTTATTTATACACTCTGTGTGGGTCAGCCTAGCATATTTTTGAAAGATAGAAAAAGGAGTTGTATTGTGAACCATCTCCGAGAGCAGCACATAGCTCGCAAGGTCAGTCAGACAGAGCTTGAGTGTATTCCCCTTTGCTCGCTATCTCCGTCTGAACTTACCAAATTTGCAAAAACTCTCAATATTCTTGCCACTGGAACGGGAACAACACCTCAGTACATAATACAGGCTGTCATCTTTGGAAGTGATAATGAGTAAAAAAGACGCAGATTATATAACCTATCACCTTGGAAGAGAGGCACAGCGTAAGTCAGTTACAGCCCTGGCCATTTCTTGATAAAACCACAGATCCAGGTCATTACCAGCATCTCTACCGTTTGCCTCAGCAGCATTTATATCTTCTTTGTATTTCGATCTCTATTTCTGATAAAAACAGCTTTCGAGCCGTACCAGCCGTGATAGGTAGCCTTCTACTCAAGCATGTGACTTTTTTAGGTTTCGTTATTTATTATATAGTATTTTGTTAATACTCTGCTGGGCGGGCTGGTAGGTTTCCAGATAAAAGAGCAAGGCTGCTTTCTTCCCTGCTAATGTTTGATGAATTTTTTAACTGAGGCTCTATTAAACTAGTAGTGGTGCAATATGGTATGTGTTTATATCCGTGAAGATGTGATTACCCTTTTTAGAACCGTTCTTTACTAACTTAGCCAAACAAAACACATTTCTCCAATTTAAAGTTTTCATTTCATGAAACTTTTCAATCTTTTGAAATGAAAAGAAATGGATTTTCAATAGGCTCCTAAGAGGCAAGTTATTACAATTGAGCAGAAAAAAGCTTCCATCCTCAAATTCTTCCAGGATGATTTCGCATTCTATAGCATGAAAGATTTGGAGAAACTGATACCAAAGAAGTGTGCTGGCGTATCTCCAGTAATTGTTAAAGAGCTAGTTACTGCAATGATTGAAGAAGATGGTGTTATTTCCTGTGAAAAATGCGGCCAAATTAACGTGTACTGGTGCTTTAAAAATCAAGTTGTTAACAAGATTTATAATGCCGCTGAACATCTCAAAGCAGATAAATTAAAAATTCAGGGGGAGATCTATTCAACGAATGATATCTTAAATATTACTATTGCTACTACAAGACAGGAAGAATTTGAAGTGGATGGAGAAAACTTTAACAGAAACAGACTCCTAGAATCGAAAAGATTATTAGAAAAAGCGATAATACAAAAACAAAGAAAGTTAGAGGATTTGGAGGATATAAGATGGGATTCACATAAAATCATTGATAAAAAAAGGGAGATAAATAGTCTCATCTCAATGATTGATATAGCAACAGATAATATGGAACTCCTCGTTGTGTATTTATCCAAAAGAAGTTGTTTAGAGTCTTCTCAGATAAGACAGGAGCTTTCCATCCCCAGTGAGTTTCAACAGTATGAAATGATAGCATTGTAAAGCCAAAAATAAGTTGGCCCTATCACTTTTTTGTTTATATGCTGATTATTAACATACGCCTTGCTAAAATATCTGCACTAACTCCATATGTATTCTCTACTTTAGTTCATTTGCTGAATGCAGATCGCTCTTATACGCGTTAAGGCATACTATGTCATATATATTCATTTTTTATGAATCTCTTTATGTTTGTTAGTGATACTATCGCGCACCTTAATCTAAAGTTAGCCAATACTTTTATTTTTGCACTGATATATTTTTATCTATAAAATGTAATAACTGGAATAGTGTGAACAGTAAAAAATTAATATATTAAAGGTTTTAAGCTACTAATCGAATATTTATTAATAAATAAACTTTTAGTATGATATAGCAATAAGCTGCATTGAGAAGGACCCTACCTTCAGGTCTAAAAAAACAGCGAGCCAGCACAATAAAGTGTGGCAAGCGCTTTTTGAAATTTCCGATAAAATTGTAACCATTTGATCATCATAATTTGAACTGATTGTACTGTAAGGTATCAATAAGTAATATGAATATAACCAAACCATCTTTGATAATTTTTGCAAATTAAAAGTAAACTGAAAGAAGAAAAAAATAGCCCAAAAAAATTGAAATAAAAAAAGTAAAAAACGTTGTCCCCTGAGAAGCAATAAAAGGAATAATTGTACTCCATTTGTTAAATATATTTCAATTATTCATTGATATCCAATGAATAGATGAAATAAAAAAAAAAATATTGAAAAAAAAAAGTGAAACCAGTATTGAGGATTTTCCCTCATGTAGGATTGAATATTTGGAAGCAATTGATGCAAACACAAAGAACATTTAAACGATTTAATAATTCATTCAAATGCCTATTTTAAGTCATCTTCATTAGAGTGAGCTGGTGTAGTTTTCTCAGGTGCTGTTGCAGAAGAGGAAGTACGTCTTTTATTTGGGTGTGGGTTGTTGTGTGTTCTTTTGTGTTGATTAAGGTTGTCACTTCTGCTGAAAGACTTCAAACAGATGTCACATGAGTATGGGCGCTCCCCCATGTGTAAAGAGCTTACATGTCTCTTTAAGTGTTCTTGTCTCTTAAATCGTCTTTCGCACATATCACACTTGAAGATTTTGGCGTCATCAAAAAGCAGAGATGGCTTCCTACCTCTAATTTTAGGAATGGAGCCTCTATTGTTTTGTGTAGCCGTTAGCGATTTTGATCTCTTCTTAGATAAGCTAGAGATCGGTGTGGCAGCACTCGACGCATAGTTGTTGCTGTTGTTGTTAGTGGAAAGAGGTGAAGCGTTCATCGAGCCCGAGGTTGGTGAAGGCACAAACATGTCTGGGTTCAAATTTAATAGATTATTCAGATCGATAGGATCAGCATTCTGAATTTGGCTGCTCACCTCTTCATTTATATGTAGTGGTGAAGGTGTTGCATTTTGTAGGGAGCTGTTCTTTTTATAGTTGCTATTGTTGCTGAAGTCAAATTGTGTGAAATTGAACTCCAGAAACTTTTCATTAAATAGTATATTGTCTTGACTTGGGGTCGTGACAGTTGTGTTTGTAGCGGTAGTGTCGGTCGAGGACAAGTCCATATTTAGCGACGACATATCCAGCATGTCTGATGCAAATAGTGGAGGTGAGGAAAATGAGTCCTTCGCTTGTTCGTATTCATCCCCTGACGTAATACTCGTGTCTTGAATGGCCAATGTGGCTTCTGAACTGTTTAGAAATTGATCAAATAGCATCATTTGCAAATCTAATTCTGTAGACATATTTGTTTTTATTATTTCTGTTTCTTAGACGATAAAAAATCACTTCGGAACCTTAGAATACAACTTATTTTTTTTATGATATAGTACCGAAATTAAATTATAATAAGCGGAACTAATAGGTAAAAAAATAACAGTGGAGTAAAAAATATTAGTCAAATTAGAGTGTGTTTTTCCTTTTTATATTAGAATAGAAATAGTGGTTAAAAGTGGAGGTGGGAAGATCAGTTTCAGTGTATTCACCTTCGATTAATCTTTTGCTATTATAGGTTGAATGCAATAAGGATGCATATAGTAGTATCTGCACCAGTTTAGAGTACTTATTATTCGCAAAACTTGGAAAACAATGGTGAAGTAAAATTGAGTTGATTAACAATGGCAGATATCCCCGGTATGAATTCGCTATTGTCTTCGAGAAAAAAAAAAGCCTATCAAAAAAAATGATAATTTTTAAAGGGAGTGTATGTTTTCCTTATAGGTTATGGATAAAGTAATCTATCAATTTTTGCAGTTACAAATTATTAATTTTTCTAAAGGAAACTTTAATATCAAGAGAGGAAAACTTGAAATGTTTGTGTAATATATATATGTTTTATTTTCGTAAATTTTCTTTCCTTTACTATTACACATCTTTTCAAGTCACATATAGTTTATTTTCACTGGTGTTTCTTACATTTCCCATTTTCGATGCTCCTTATTTTCTTTAAAGTTTCCTGTGAAATCAATAGAAAATCGGCATGTGTGTTGGTGTGTCTGTGTATGTCTGTGTGTGTATAGTTTGTGTATGTGTGTACTAATCCTAGAGGTTCAAAGGGAAAAGAGGACTTACAATTATTACCAAATTTTGTACAAATTATAAGGATTTTCGCACAGAATTCTTTGTCTTCAACTATTACACAATTATTAATATTGTGTGCGAGATTAGAACAGAAGAACCGAAAAAAAGAAGTACAAATCCACGTACTTTCCTTTTAATTTTGAATTCTTCTTTTCTTTGCTATTTTTGCGAAGATCAATACAATGAGGAGACTAGCAAATCTCAATTTCTATTTGTGCTATTTCCTCGCACCATTCTTTACCCAAGTGAGGAGAGAAAAAGAAAGGAGCTCTCTTTTTTGCCAGAAAAGTTTTTACAGCCAGATGGAAGAATAAACAGCTGGCCCATAACGTTCATGGCTATTTTTCTTCCAGTTTTTGGGCTTGCTTTCCTTGCTCTCTGGCTTTTGAGTGGAAATGGAAAATCCTAGCAAAGGGAACAATCTTAAGCTTTCCTTCGAAGTTCTCTCCAGAGATTTCCTACAAAGATATATTACCGATGCTTTTGGTCTGTCATACGTAATTGGGTGTTCATGGTCTTCTGAGGAACACTGCGTTTTCATAGAGAAGGGCAGCATTATCTCATCACGCTATTTCTTTCGGAACTGGATGCGTACAGAGAACGATAGTAATTTAAATATGATGAAAGACAAAAAAATAAGAGAGCCAGTCGATGCTCCACAGAATATTACGTAGCGTCTATAAAAATAACACCTCGTATTAAAAGGGAAATACGCAAGAGAGAGAGAGGGAAGATTGACCTAAAAGCACTTCCCTAGCCCTTGCTCGATCTTGTTCTCCACTTTCTGAATCCTTTTTCTTCTTTTAGAAGTCCCCCCCCACTTCGTTCGACTTTCATTTTGCAAGCAGTCACTCTAACTCTACGGAATATTCTGTGCTGGTTTTTTTATTGCGTGTACTATTTTAGGTAAGTCAAGCTGATGATGAGATCATTGCATTTGAAAAGAAAAACAAAGCCCTTCTCTACAGGTCCTGCCGTGATTATTACCAAATCTTTCTCTGCTCTAAATGATTTTCTCCCGGTTTTTCTTTTGGCTTTTTTTCTGATTCTCTACTTGTACTTTGTTTTTGTAAGAATTAGCTTAGATGTTAGCTATTTTGATGGACTCTTTTTTGGGTTTTTCAATTCCCTTAGTGGCTGTCTTTCTCCCAATAAAACTACAGATGCATGTTTCTTTTGTCCGCAATTTGAGATGTTGGTGTTTTTGGTTTCAACATATAATTTTGGGCGTGAAGGATCGACCCTTTTTTTTTTTGTTGTAATATTTTGCACTTAGGCCAGGCGTAACATGTTTCTATTTTCATTTTCAACACTTCAGTCAGTACAAATTTTTTTGAAACAAAGGGTTTCATATCATATTCCTTAAAACCTTGACATGTTGAATGCATTAGAAAATATATTGACATATATGGCTCAAAATCACGCTCTTCATCCCCTTTGGCTGTTCTGGCTCTATACAATTCCTATGTAGGTATGCACACCCGCATACAGAGACTAGCCAGAACGAGCATTGGATGGATAAAAAAAGATGCTGCTTTACCTCGTTCCATGCTTCAGTTCAATTTACGGGTGAACTATCTCTTCTCGATATTATGTCCATATTTCGTAAGGTTGCTCTTTCCAGTGAAAAGAAAAGAACGCTCACTGGTGGTGAGAAACTTGTTTTTAGTATGGGGCTGTGCGGAAATATTTGCTTTCCTCTTCGAAGAATTCCACGCGTGATGAGCTGGACAAAAATGCGAGCAATTGAAATAAATTTTACAGGTGTACTTCACGTAAATCCAAGCAATCTTGTACACTAAACACAGTAATAACATGGGAAATGTTACATTTGTACACGTTGGTCTGCGCAGCTTTTCTCTCTTTGGATGAGTGCTGTACTATTTTCTTCGTATAGGCCCTTCTTTGGTCTGTACTACTCTTGGGAGGGGGGGGAGAGGCCCTAACCATTGTGTGCTGCCTCTTCTGTCGCTTTTAACCGTGAAAAACCCAAGACACAAAGCGACTTTCCTTTCGAGCACTTGGTGCCAGCTCTGTTGACTAAAAAAATGGCTTCAGTTAGGTAATGTAGGCAAGGTCTCGTCAATGTTGATGTTCATAGAAAGAGGGGTAGTGCTCACATCTGACAGGATATGTTGATGATCTGTCGCTGGTATAGAAGCTTCGGCACAGAAAAGCAAGAGGGAAGACGGACGAGGGCTTTTAGTGTAGGGCACATTTGTACGCTGTATTCTGTGTGCTCTGTGTATTTCCAAAGTGTTCAAGATTTATTTTTACCTGTTTTTTGCCCTTTAAAGTGTCAAGAAGTGCATTCCAGGATACGTTTCTTCGCCATAACTTCATTACTTCATTCTTCGCATTGCTTTCCACAAATCATTGAGTGTCTATTTTTCCTCTTCAAGCCAAGGCAAAAAGCGCAGGGCTCCGTTTATACACATTGCACTTGCATGCATCCGCGGGGACTGGGGCGGTCCTATCATATTATTCTTTTTACCAAAATATAGGCTTTTTCTCCACGAACGGTGTTTAAATTCTTTCCACGATGTAACAAGCTCAGTTTACGTGCGGAAGAATTCTACTACAACTTGAAAGGGTCCATGAACAAAAAAAATATTAAGCATGTGGCGTCATTATAACGTTTACGGTTCTCGAACGTTTTCACTACGTTAAACCGTTAACACCTTGGGGGGAGTACCTCTTTTCTTCTTTATTCTTGTAGTAGAATTTTATCGGTTGCATTGTCCTCATCCTATGAGTTAACAAGTAAGGGTCGCATCCAGCTTATGCTATACACAGAATAGAGAGTGGAAGCGACAATTGTATCTACAGAAATTATGCACAGAACAAGTTTAACCTTTATCATTAAAATAGAAGTTCCACGCAACTCGAATATACAAGTAGCACTATAGCAGGAAAACTAGTTTCATGATTGATCAGTAAGGTATCTACGGTTCTTTTCAAAGAAACTGAAATTACTATCTCCTTAGTGAATCGGGGGGATTCACGCTCAAGTTTTTTATGAAAATTGTCCAATCTTATTGATTTAGACCATTCTTGTCCTTTTTTCAGCACTCTATGCAATGTAAGACAGATCCTTAAAGCTTAAGCTTAGGGGATCACATATCTTGTAGCATCTGTTCTGACTATCTATGGTATACATGAGTAAAAACTAGGCATTTCACTTTTATGTTTAGACTCCCTATCCTGAATTGTTATTGAGCCCACTTTTCAACTGGGTGTTGGTACAAGGTTGTGTGCGCGGTACTACTGCATAACGTGAGGTAAAAAGAAGTGTGCCGGGAAGAGGTAATTTGCATGTCTATGGTCTTTGACCTACTTAGAGGTAAGAAAATAACTCAACTACAGTTCAATACTAGTCGGTAAGAAGAAAAACCTTATACAAACTAGTTGTCTAATTCACTGAATGAGGGTTTTCCGGATGAGCTATACCCATTCTGTTGATATTTTACACCAGATGAAAATGGTTTGAGATAATAATAAAACTACAAACCATACTTGAATCGAATCAATAGACGTTAGGGTATTGGTTAGAGGTTCAAGTCAGCCAATATAGCATCATTAGTTCTCAAGATCATTGACGTAATAAATAGCCAAAATGAAATAATGTGACCCCAAAATCAAATTCGCGTTGTTAACTCGTGAGGTACAGGAAATGGTGTATGCTCATTATAGCTGTTAAGAGCTGTACAATAGCCAACCTACATTATATCGGATGTCTATCTCCACTTACATTCACAATTTTATGACCAAACTATTGAGATTGAATGCTATCTTTTATCGCTTGATATCTTATCTGATTCACATCGTATATAGAGCCTCTAAAACTTTGTGTAACTAGGTTATTGTTTTTTGCCACGTTTCTTGCATTTTGAGGAGTAACTTATTTGTATGGATGTGCATATTTATTGTCTACTGGAACATAGAAAAGCGACAAGCGCGTTGTTCTCAAGGCATATTGTAGGACATCTCGGAATGCAGCTCCGTGAATAAAGAACCTCATGTGAGGAAACAAACTACCTGGGACTTCAAGAGAAACAACAGCATAGCTCAGGACTTATGTGACTTTTGTTTTCCTGTAGCATTTGTTTGTGAACAAACGAAAAACCTTCTCCCACACTAACCCACACACAAATGATTCTTACAG